ATCAAGAAATTTAAAAAGAGAGCAACAGAGAAGAAAGGAAAGAAAAATCTGAAAGCAGATTCTAAGAAAAAATAAGTAACATGCAAAACTCTCTTTTTCTTATTCGACATAAACTGATTTTTTTTTTTTTTCTGAGCTTGAAATGAAATGTTTAGGCATGTCCACTGCTTTAATTTTGAGCTAAATGTGAAAGCTTTTAATGTTGCTGAATGGCAGACATATCTTTCGGCCTAAAAAAACTAAAAAGTGCTGATGCTCGCTGCTCTCATTCCTCTTTTCCTTTTTTCTTTTTTTTTAAACAAATTTAATGTCAAATTCAAAATAAGAAGGCAATACAAATATCAAAATACATTTCTTCCGGAAAAGAGACAACCACACCAAGAATCTTAGAAAGAGTTTAGTAACTTATTCTTGTTGGTCTATCAGCTACATCATCAGCACATTAACAATGATGAGTTAATGTATACATTGATAGATTTCAGACTGTCCACAACACTTGCTGCTACCTGCCCAGCCACATAACATTTTTAAATACAAAGACATAGATTTGTAAATCTGCAAGAAATATTTTTTCATTTTCCTTCTGCTCAGTGATAAATTGTTGGGAGTAGATTCAAAAGGCTTACTAAAATAATAGAAAATGTTGAAGTTTGTTTTGTAGACAATAAGTTCTATGTAATGCCTAAAATCTAAATGTTTCAAGAAGCTATACATAAGGCAAAGAGCTTCAACAGATTTACTACCATGACATGCACATTGTAGATCATTAATAAATAGATAGGAAATTTTGAAAGGATGTCCCTTCAGCAGGCATGAAACCACACAAACCTAACTATCACTTTCATTGAAACTTACATGTATAACCAGTGATAAAGAGAAAATAATGACCTCGCATTTCATCAAAACAACTGAGTGAAAATAAGATCTTTATTTTATTTCATCTTTCAAAATGACTTGCTGCATGACTCTTGACAACTAATTTAATTCATCTATTTTTGCATTTAAGAATTTAAGTACTTATACTAACTTAACAGCCTTCTTAGTGTGGGAGGATTAATTTCTTCTATTAATTTTGGTTTTGATTTAGAGCATAACATATTCCCTGCTGAGCATCTTTGGAGGTACGCTCTACAAGGATCAAGCTGATGAAAACATACCTGAGGCAATCTATGATCCTAGGCAGTATAAAAAATATTTTAAGATTCTGTACAGGTACAAAATGATCTAGCTTTATTCAGAAAATACTCAGCAAACTGTATAAATAGATTTGCATTATTATTTATATTTATTCCACATTCTAAACCCTGGTGTTTCAATAAACATTAAATGTCTAACTTCCATGTTCTCTCATCTTTTCTAAACAATCTGTGCTGTTCAGAATTGAAATCCTGTTCATTTGGTTTACCTGTTGACTTTATCTTCCTGTCTTATTTACAAGAGCCTCTTTTAATTACTTAAAAACTGTTCAAATAACCAGTTTCCATTGCTATCTTATCCATATGTAAGAAGTCAGAACTAGAGGGGGTGGTATGCTGTAGTTCTTATAATTTCTGTTCCTCAGTTTTTGGATGACAGAAGCAAAACTAGTTTTCAAATATGCAAAGTATTTGTAGCTTCAATGAACAACGAGTAGTAGCTCTCAGTCTTACTAACAGAACGTATTCCAGAATGAAGTCACAAAAATCAGTGATCTAAGGAATTTCTTTCAAAGGGGCAATAAACTATGTAAATTATAACAACATAGCTCTGGAATGAGGGGACCCATTTTACAGCTTACTTCTATCAAAACTGGTATTTATGTTCTGACAATGTTCCTACAGGTATGATTTTAATGCTTTCTAAATATTTCCAAAGAATCCCCGTCTTGTTCTCTTCAATATCCTTATTCTCAGAACTTTAGGAGGACCTGATGTTTGTCTCTTGCGAGTTTCTTAATTCATGCCTGATAACACCTAAAGAGGTTTGCTACTCATTTCCCTGGAACTGAGCACAGCCTGTTCCTTGGGTACATCCTTTGTAGTACCAGCTCCTCAGTTCTAAGCTGACAGTTTAACCTTGAACACAGAGTAAGGTTGCTACTGATTTTCAGTAAAAGTTGCCATTCATCTTTCTAAATTTTCACGTCCTTTCATACATAATATAAGTAATAATCTCAAAAGCTGTTTCACTGCTCAGAACAGTTTTTTCAATATTCGGACTTCTAAATTAACTCTACTCCCTTCCTTTTTCATTCCACCTTCTGAATGCCATAGATATATTTGTATTCTCCCTGCAAACATTTTTCCTGCAGATCTCTAGATATTCTACAGCTAATTCCTCTTGCACACACCAAAGAAAACAAATCTGTCGCATGTAATTTGATAGTACCATACCCATGTGCCCAATTTGCTATGTAACCATCATTTTCTTCAACAGACTGAGAAGTCTCTTTGAAAGAGGACAATGTTTTCATCTGCTACAAAAGAAAAAGCAGTAATCTTGACGTAAGACTCTTTGTAAGGTATTCTAGGCTTACCTGCAATGTACAACCATAGGCCCAGCATCAGGTGGGTTGCAGGTCTTGACTCGTCGCAGGAAAGCTAAGAATGGTGTTGGGTGTTCTGGGACACCATGGTCAGGCCAAGCAGTGAATTGGAATTGTCTCACTTCCCTTTTCTCACTTGAACCATTCTACAACATTAAAGAACTTCATGACAAAAACTGCCACTAGATGTGATATTGGCACTTTTCAACGAATCAACTGCCAAAAAATATATACCAGCAAAGCGTATCTTAAATCACATTTGTGGCTAGAGAAAAATGGACCTCAGGTTAAGGAAGGAAACGTTTCTTATATTCTCAACTGCAGGATTCAAACAATGTGAGAACTTTAACTATACTGCACAGTAATGCAAGTGCCAGAGCTTTAACTAGTATTTCATTCAGTTAAATGGGTTTTCATAGTGAGAGCTCTGTATTAACTTACAAAACTCCATGCTGTGAGAAAAATACACTTTATCTGTAGAAGTCTCATTGTTCAGTGCTGCTAGGAGGAAATGAGGAAGAAAGTGGAAGGAGGAAAAGGGAAGAAAGGGAGCAAGGAAATAAGGGAGAAAGGCAGAGAAGACAAGAAGCAAAAGAAAGGAGGAGGGCGAAGTGGCCAAAGAGAGAGAGTGATAAGGTGGGCAGAAGAGGATAGGAAAGGAGGAGAGGAGAGGGGAGAGGAGGGATGAAAATTACCTGCATTTATATTTTAAAGTATATTCTAAGTGTATATAAGCATATATACCTTGTAAAGTGCAAAAGTACGAACACAGTATGTCGCCAATTCAACAGTGTCTAAAAGGGTCACTTGGATTAGTCCATAAGTTTCTGTGCCTCTGCTTGGCCAGTACTGATCACACTTCACCTGTAGCAAAAAAAAATACATAATTATTTAATAGATTTAAAACTGACAGTTACTACATATCTGAGTGTGTATTACTGTAGGTTTTTAAAGCATGTAGAATTAGAATGTTCAAAAACTGCTGAGGATCTAACAGAATAAAATCATTTTATCTTCCACAAGAGTTGGTTTTCTGGTAGTAGCTCTTACAGTGTCTTCTCCCATAATGTAAGTGGGGGAGATGATTATGAAATACTAATAAGTATAGATACTACTCTGCTCTGATGGGACCCCACCTGTACTGCAGGGTTCAGTTCTGGGGCCTCCAACACAAGAAGGACATGGGCTTGCTGGAGCAGGTTCAGAGAAGGGCCACAAAGATAATCAGAGGGCTGAAGCACTTCCCTTACAAGGAGAGGCTGAGAGAGTTTGGGTTGTTTGGCCTGAAGAAGGGTCCAGGGAGACTTTGCAGTGGCCTTCCAGTACTCAAAGGGGGCCTACAGGAAAGAAGGAGAGGGACTCTTTATCAGGGAGTGTAGTGATAAGACAAGGGGTAATGGTTTAAAACTAAAAGAGGGTAGATTTAGACCAGATATTAGAAGAAATTGTTCCCTGTGAGGGTGGTGAGACACTGCAGCAGGTTGCCCAGAGGAGTTGCGGAAGCTCCCTCGCTGGAAGTGTTCAAGGCCAGGCTGTATGAGGCTTTGAGCAAGCAGGTCTAGCTGAACAGGTGATAACTGTTATTAATAATATTCTGGCATGCTCTGACAAGCTTGTATAATATAATAACGAAAATAAAAAGTATTAACCATCCTAGATAATAAGACCAATTACAGTGTTGTTGTAGACATCAACTGAGATTTTTAATACATTTCAAACATCGTGTTACTTTATATTCTAATTCTTTCGTGGTTTATGTTAACTTAATTCATAACTTTACTGACCAGAAAAAAAAAAATTATGTAGATTTACTGTTTGTACTTGTTTGCTAATTTTTTTTGAAAGATACGCTCAGTCCTGATGTGTTGCCTGATCTAGTTGAGAGGCGTCCCTGCCCATGACAGGGAGGTTGGATTAGATGATCTCTGAAGTCCCTTCCAGCCTAGGCCATTCTATGATTCTATGATAAAGCCTGCAAAATATTTATGAATAGTCTAATGAAAGGTGTCCTTCTCCATGGCAGGTGAATTGGAACTAGATGATCATTAATATTCCTTCCAACCCAAACTATTCTGTGATTCTATGATTCTGTGATGCAGAAGTGAACCATATGTTTATCATCGTGGCTGAGGCTCAATAATTTGTTTCAGTTAAAGACAGAATACTATGAAAACTATTATGAACAAAGAGGTGCTGAAGACATAAATCAATCAGAAAACATAGTACAAAGTAGTATGGGGATTAAATAATTGAAAACATTTTGCTTTCAGTGACTGATAGGTGAAACTGAGACAGTCAGTCTCTGCTCTGTTTATAACAATATTCTTATCAACTGGCGTTCTATATGGTACAGAACTGTAATCGGAGACCAGTAATGATACACTACATTTGTTTAATAAATGTATTCACTAATTACTCTAAGCCAGACTCATACCAAATTCAATGGGAACACACAAACTGTAAGAAGCAACAAAAGCAGAATATTGCCCAGTAATTCTGATAAAAATGTGAATTATCATCCTAATCCAAGAGAAAAACTGTTGCTTTCCGCAAAATGGAAAATTAAAAAATGAATCTTTAAAACTCATATGTGATCCAGGTTTCTCAGTCTGCACAGTACTTATTGAAAAAGAATTAGTATGCCTTCAGATTCCTCAGTCCTAAACAGCTTTTGCTTGCAGATAGTTTTAATTTGAGGCTCAGAGGTCACAGATAAGTAATGGTTCACAAATCACAGCCTCAGAACATGTAATCTAGAAAAAGAGTGGAAAAATTCTAACCACTGAAGCAGGTGATGAACATTCATTACAGGCAAAAAATACTTAAATATTATTTTACAGGAATGTATAGATAAGGATTTGGAAAAAAGTAACTAAAACTGTTTATTGATACTATAGTCTTCAAAATGGTATTAATAGTGTATAAAATCCTCTTATAAAGAGGAATTAAGTAATTACTTCATTGTGCTATTTGCTACAATACTGAAAGAGCATGTATCACAGGTACTTCATGAATATTGGTGATTTATCTGTAAGATTTCTAACACTAGAAGAAGCCACTGTGGTCTTCTGTGAATCAGACAGAAAAGTATACTTTCAGCTGAGTTATGAGAACATAATTACAGTAAATCTACCTTCTCTTTATAATTATATAGACACAGTGCAGCTTGTGTCTATATTAGTTAACAGTATTTTAGACAAACAAGTTGTGGTTTATTATTTACTATTTATTAATTCCCATAGAATGACATAATTTTTTCATGCAAAATGTTGATATATAATAGCTGTTATTTGCAATCTTAGCAACTACAGGTTTAGTACAAACTAGTTAGTTAGATTTTTTTTAATGAATAAAAATGCTAGTATACTTTATGTACTTTTAATAAAATGAATACAATAAAAAAGTATGGCTATGCCTTTGCATGCCTACACATGTAGTTCTCCTCTTTACTCTGCAGCTTCAAAATATAAATTGTATGCTTTTAGAAGTAGTGCCAGCTTCCAGAAAGCATACATGAAAAAATTGACCAGCTTTCTCAACACAAAGATTTATAAAAACATCTTCCAAATGTTACAGAGAGAAATAAATGCTCAACACAAATATTAAATGGAAATTCAGAACATATTAGTTTACAAGCATCTTTGCAAATAACAGAAAACACTATTTTTATTTTGTATAGTAATCTGACATTAAGCATATGGTCAGATTTAGAAGCCTGTAGGAAATTGCTCCGTTTCACTTAGACTGCGAGAATATAAACATGTTTGCTCTTTCAGGTGTAGATGTTAGGTTTGTTGAGGTGGTTTTTTCCCCATTTATCAGTTTATCTAACATAAAGTCTAATCACTTTACAATTTTTCCAAAATACATTCTGTGAGAGCTAGCTGATGCAGAGGGAGGAGCACTGCGGAACCAGACACTAACTGTTCAAAAATAAACACAATTTGTAAACCAGCATTTATATTATTTGAAGGGAGAAACTGCTGAAAGTAAGTATCAAATTTTTAGAAATAAAACCTGGTTTTGGACTGTTGTGGATTTGACCTTCTAGAAGAGCACATGAAGCAAAAGTTGAAGGAAATACATCTTTTATTGCTTTTGCTTCTTGATTTTTCTCAGAATAATACAACTTCTTCAGAGATGTGCCCTTACCTGTCTTCTACACGCTTTTGGTCTGTGATCATAAACCTTACTTTCCCAAGTAATTTCCCAATACTTCTAACAATTTAGAGTCCAATTTATCTTTGGAGAGACCAGAACAATATTTTCAATTGGACTTCACCTGCTGCTGAAAATCAAATAATATAAGCTAATTGTTAAAACAGTATTTTCTGAGACAGATTTCTTGTTAAAAGTTTTATCCTATGTTAAGATCCCAGTCTACAGTACTTAAATTTATTTTTCGGAGTTTACATATTAATGCTTTTTTTCAGAAAAAAATCTCAAACCCCTTGAGTCTCACAAAAAAAATAACATTAAATTTCAACAAGTCAATTCTGAAATTATTTTTCAATTTATTTTTTTAGCTCTTTGGTCTTATTTCCCCTTAGTATGGAAAATTTCTCCCTCACTTGCGTAACTTGTTCAGAAAACAGAAAACTTTAAAGTGGTAAGGTATGGTGACAATAACATGCATTCTCCTTCAGAAACACAGTTACAGGAGTTATTTGTTTTCAGAGTCAGTTTGTAACAGACTTTCGGTGAATTTCAGTCCTCACCTTCCTCTTGTCCACCCAGCTCCCCGTTCCAAGGGTTGATCTTTTCCTCTGCAGACTACACCCACCTGCACACAACAAGAACTTTCCTGTGCCACTAACTACATGGTTACAGAAAACAACTTTCACCAATAATTCTCTACTGTTCTCTTGCCTGTCACTAAAGATGACAAGATGAATGAAATACACATACAAGCACCAAAGAACTCACTGGTGATTTCAAAGAATGTTTTTTAAAGAAAAATTCAATTACAAGCAATGACAAGTATACTTTTCACTACTGCTTTCACTATCTCATTATCAGAGGTTGCACACTGCGAAACCCACTACATCTGAGATCAGAGCAGCTCTCAAAAGACTGCTAAATTTATTATGAAATATTTTAAGTAGTAAACATAGAAGACATAACTAATGATAAGCACATTCTCCTAACCTGACCCTCAAACATACATATGCTTCCTTTCTCTACCTTTCCGCTACTGAGACCACGCAAATCCTTGTTGTTCATGGAAGTCCGAGCACTCACTGAAAGCAAAGAAAATGTAAATGCTGGAGACCATTTCAGACCTGAGGTGTTTAAGTGGCTACAGAGTTCCACGAATATTCATGCATATTTGCACTTCAACCAGTCACACACAAGAGAAGGCCCTGACATGCACCAGCAGAGCTGAAGGAAGAATATTTCCACATGAACATATGAATACAAAGATTCTTGACATTCAAGGTCAGAGAAATAATTTTCCATTATAAAGTTCCATCATCCAGGCTGAAAAGCCTCATCAGGTGATTCTTAACATGAGCCAGCAGTTTACAAGTCATCTGAGATTATAAGGACAAAACACAGATCAGGAAAGAGACAGAAAACTAGCAATAGGCAGATTCATAGAGTACATTGCTTGCTGTAAGAACAGCAAACGAATTATGCTGAATCTGGAACAGGAAGTAACATAAGTAGGTCACAATCTTCTTGCATTGGTTTTCTTTATAATAATAGTCTTTCAGAGAAAAAACTGTCTAACAACATTTTCAGATGGTCTTACTTTAAAAAATAAATTATGTCTACAATAATGGTGAACGATAATAACGATAATCATGCAATAAAAAAGGTAGTGCCAGCTCTTGGCAATGGAAACTGACTCAAACTCTATC